GAGAAGTATGACTCTGAATTCAAAACTGTGGAGAAGGCAATGGGAAACCATTCCATTATATTTTCCAAGAAGTCAAGATAATAAAGAAAAGGAATCTTGGAGAAGGACTACTCTGTATTTGAAACCCTGCAGATAGATGCCCTTCTTACTGGGGTAGGGTTTACATATCTCTGATAGATCTCTTTCCCGTGCATGCATTCCAAGTGCAGCTGTGCTGGTCATGTGAATCTCCATTCAGTAACCAGGAGGTCATCTGTCAGGTCAACTGTGCACCTGTCTTCTCTGACTGCCAAGTCTATTCTGGCATTGTCTGGGGTGAGGCACACACTATAGAGCCATAATTGCTTGTGTCTTGAAAAGAATTATCATTGAAAAAAGTAAGATACTATAACATGTAGTAATAGCTATAAAACTAGTCTAGCAGATCTGATTTTTCTAATGAATTTAGTCTATATTGCATATCCAATCCATTTGGTTTTATGCTAAGCTTAGTAAATACTATATGGAAGCTGTCAGATTACAGATTAGAATTAATTATTACAAGACTAAAAATGAACCCACTGTAAGGAGGCTGGGTGCTATAGACATTTAAACACAATTCAGTTATCTCTCTTAACTGATAACAAAGACAGGAGAATTTAACTCAGTTGAGATATCAGTAAAAATAGAGCCAGCTTTATATAATGGCAACACTTGGAGGTCAAAGTTGAAACCTTATTGGAAGTTGTTTAACTTAGTTGTAAACAATGGACTAAGAGGCAGAACACTAACTGAATATTCTATGTAACTTATCTCGAGTAATAAAGAAGCTTTGATAGAAACTTTCTATTTTTACCAGTGAAGATTCATCTGAGTCACTTTTAATTCAGACGCACACACACAATTATATCAGGTCATCCCATAAGTTCTGTCTGAAGTTTGAATAAAGAAAACAAGTGACCGAATGTTACATTTAATTACAGATTCAAACAACAATGTATTTCCCTGATTATCTATGACTTCCTTCCATCTATTAACAAGCTTACTAATTCCATTAATGCAAAATTCTTTTGGCTTTGATCAAAGAACTCACAAATGTCAGTTTTAACCTCTTCCTGTGTTACAAAAGCTGTTTCTTCCAAATGATTCTGTAAGCTATGAAACAAATGGTAGTCTGAAGGAGCAAGATCAGGAGAAAAAGGTGGATGGATGAGGAATTTTCTCCCAACCAAGTTCTTTGATCTTTTGTGACGTGATTCTTGCTGTGTGGGGTCGTGCATTGTCCTTATGAAACATCATCTCTTTTCGCTTCACTAGAGCAGGTCTTTTTTTCCTCAAAGCTTGGTTCAAATGCTCTAATTGCTGATAGTATATTTGAGTATTAATTGTTGCATTAGGTGGTAAGAATTCAAAGTGGATTATTCCTTGGTGATCACACCAGATTGAAAGAAGAACATTTTGCCCATGAAGTTCCTTTCTCGGCTGTGGCTGGGGTCCTTCCCCTTTACCACTGTTTACGACGCTTAACATTTCGATAAAAGATCCATTTTTCATCGCCAGTCACAAGTATATCCAAAAAAGGGGAAACAAGTTGGCGAGAATGGAGAGAAGAGCAGATGCCAACTCGGGATTTGAGGTTGTTTTCAAACAATTCATGAGGCACCCATTTTCCAAGTTTAGGAACTTTTCCAAGTTGTTGAAGATGACGATGAACAGTTGTATGGTTTAAACTGAGAACCACTGCCAATTCCTCACCTGATAAAGCAGGATTTTTTTCAAGGACTGCTTCAAGAAGCTTTTCATCAAACTCAACTGGACATCCGGTTCAATCTTCATCTTCAAGGGTGAAATCTCCACCTCTGAATTTTGCAAACCATCTTCTGCAAGTTCTTTCATTCATATATTTCTCTCCATAAACTGAGTGAATGTTTCTAGCCGCTTCGGCTGCTGAGTTTCCTTTCTTGAAATCATAAAGCATTATGTGCCTCAAATGATTCTTGGGTACTTCCATGTTAGCAGGGTTTTAATCAAACAAAATTTAATTTTATTGTTCTCTGAAATAAAATTTGATCAGTTTAAATGCATCTAAACATAAAAATAATGTTCAGCTCCATTAGACATTATAAAATACTCTTTAGATTTTAACAAAAAGTTAAAATTCGGACAGAACTTATGGGATGACCTGATATATATATGTTTGTGTGCAAAATTTCAGATATAAATAAAAATATATCTGTAAAAAGACAATATGAATAATGACAAAAAGTAAACTTATCTTAGCTGACACATTTTATCCTCTGACTAACTTAAAAGCTGCCCCAACAGGCAGCATTTAAGCTAGCTCCTGCAGAGGGCTGTTGATTGGGCCTTCATTAAAATAGGCAAAGAGGAGGAAATGTGATAGGCAACAATAAACTACAGAAGAACTCAAAATTGATCACTGCATTTAAGTATTGCATTAATATTTAAGCTTACCTTTTAAAATTTTAATAATAATTCTTTTGCTGCCACTTAATTTAAA